ATGGTAGGTATTCTTGTCCAAAGTCCCCCCTAAAGACTTATTTGCCAGCCATATAAAGCCTTTAGACGATTTCACTCTGCAGTCTTGAAGCCAACCCTAGATGACACTAAAAAAAGAAAGCAAAGACAAACTATCTTTCTTGAGTTCTGTCAAAGCTATAGGCTCATAAGCAAAATAAATATTACCATTATAAGTCAAAATTTTTTAATAAAAAGTAATCTTATACATCAAAAGACACCACTAAAAAATTGAATTGACAATTGACAGATTGGAAAAAAATATATGCAATGCATATATATGACAAGGAGAGGTACCCAGCATAGACAAAGAATGTCTACAAATCAAAGCTTTTAAGACCAGCACTATTTCAGAAACAGGGAAAAATCTTCTAGAAACACCTCACAAAATAAGATATACAAATGACCAATTCAATGTGAAAGAGGCTCAACATCATGAAGATGCAAATTAAAACCATAATTTCACACCTACCGATGTGATTAAAATGGAAAACATGGGCAATTCCAAACGCTGAAAACGATGTGGAGTAAGACTCACATATTTCTTAGTGCAAGAATAAAATGATATAACCGCTTTGGAGAAAATTTTGGGTATTTGTTATGAAATGAAATAAATATGGCCAAACAATTCACTACTAGACACTTACCAAAGAAAAATGAAAACGTTACCACAAAAAAAAATTGGTATAAGACTGTTAATAGCAGGTGTATTCATAATAGGCAAAATACAGACACCACCCAAGTATCCACATAAAGGCGGCTAGAAGAACAAATTGTGGCACATCTATACAATGGAGTACAATTTAGTAGTATAAAGAATGAACTGTTGTTTACTATTAATCCATCTGAATAAAAAATAGAATGTTAAAAAGAATGAACTAAAGATACACACAAAAACTTAGGCAATGCTTGAAATTTTTGTTTTAAGTGAAACAAGCCAGTCATTTAGATAAAGTTACAGAAAATCTACGGTGGTAAATGTAAGAAAGTGGTCACATTTAGGGGACTAGGGCACTGACTCTAAAGGAATACATGAGAAATTGCTAGGGATTTCTGTATCTTTTTTGATAACACAGAAGTAAGTAATTGTCAAAACTAATTTAACTGAACACTAAAGATTGTGCACTTTATTGAATATGAATTACACTCAAAATTGGGAAAGAGCTGTTTCTCTGAGTGCTGTAACATATGGGTGCTCAAGCAGTCCTTCTGTGGGACCCACCCTCCCAAATGCCTCTAACAAAGAAGACTAGGGCCTCCCTGGCCCGCCCGCCTCACTTTCCCACAGACCATCAGCCTCCAGGAAGGCAGCCTGGGGGAGCAAAGACGCACAAACAGGAGACCAGAGAGAGCAGTAAAATGCACAACAAATATCCAGAGCCTTCCCCAGGTACAAGCTTGTTGACCTGCTTGTCTCAAAGGAGCCCAGAAATGCTAGTGTAGTGGGAAATTTTGCAGGAATCTGGAATCGTGAGTTACAAAGGTGGACGTATGCATGATTTTCTTCACATTAGTTATTTAAAAGCAAGCTCAGTCTGGGCAATTTAGTGAGACCCTGTCTCAGAATAAAAACTAAAATAGGGCTGGGGATGTGGCACAGTACAAAGGCCTGGCTTCAATCCTCAGTGCTGTGGAAAGGAAAAGAATTCCAAAAAGCATGAAAAACTCACTGCAGTCCGCCCTTACTGTGCACACCTCCCAAGGCATCCACATCTCACCTGGCACTCTACCACCCGCAGCTGAGTTCTGAAACTCAACCCCACCATATCTTGCGTGTATACCTAAATTATTTCCCAATAGTATATTTTCTATAATGCTTATAGACACAGATTATTAAAATATAAATTCACTTAAAACTACCACTGACTTTGTTTTATATCTAGTCAAATAGTAAGTATTAAAAGTAAAACTTCTATTGGGGGTATCACTGGTATTTTTAATAAATATTTTAAGGAAATTTCTTTTGACTCAAAATCTGATTCTGTAACATCAAATTATGTGACCTCAAGAAAATTACTTTATCTCTCTGACCCTCGGTTTTGTGTGGTGTGTGTGTGTGTGTGTGTGTGTGTGTGTGTGTTTGTGGTACTGGAGTTTGAATCTAGGACCTTCACAATGAGTTACATTCCCACTTTGTTTTGTTTTTGTTTTGAGACAGGGTCTTGCTGAGTTGCTAAATTGCCCAGGCTGAGCTTGAATTTGAGATCCTCCTACCTTAACCTCCCAGGATGCTGAGATTACAGGCTGGTACCCGTACCCAACCTGTTTTATCTAAAGAAATAGAGATAATGATAGTCTACCACAGAGGATCATCAAAGGTTAACGTTCATGTCAATGAAGATTTTGATACAGTGCATGACATGTAGTATTGCCTGACATACAATGTGTGCTCAGTAAAGATTGGGATCGCTCAACAATGACTATAAGGTACACTAAAGGCAAACATCCAAGACTTAAAGTCCTACTTATGATTAAAGCATGCCCTTTAATTTTCTGGACATCCATTTCCTTATATGAAAAATGAGAAGGTTAAATTTAGCTGTTTCTATGGCTTCATTGTCATCAGGCATTTTCTCGTCTGGCCTGGCAAGTAACGTCCAAGACTGGAAATGCTTATCCTATTATAAATGCAATACAGACTGCAGTAAGATGCCAGTGGACAGAAGGGCCAGAATGACCAGAGATGCCACTCCCTGCCAGTGACACAGAGAATGAAGAAACAACCTTGGAAAACAGAGATCTTGGACTGTGAAACTACGGATAGCCTCTTCCTTTCAGACTGCCAATAAGTCAATGTCTCATTTTGCAAATTCAAGTAAAGACAGTCTTAGTGATAGGAAACTAATGACTCTTTCCATTCCTGTTTCTACCTGAGTGTTGCCTTGGAACTATTGAAGTTTTCCAACTTGTCACCCTGTTTCAGGAAACCCTTCCTCCATTCTATCCATAATAGCATAGGCAGCGTTGTCTTCCCCATTCACACCATGCACTGTCATGTTCCAACCCTGCCCTGGTGCCATCAGCATGGATCTGCCATCCTACTCCCACCCAGAAAGCCTCCAAGCTTCTTTTGATTTCTGAGGCCCTGGTTCCATTCCTATGGCCTCCAGCAAACCTCCCCCCACATTTGCTGGTGAGACACAGGATGCTCACCCACTGGAGAACCTCACAAATAACCCAAACACGTGCCCATGAATCTTTATTGTTCTCCATGTACTGCTGAATTAAAAAGACATACCCCCAGCAGACATTCAACAAAATCTACTACACATCCTTGCCCAGATTTCCATCTCTTCATTCATGTTCTCTCCACCAGTTCTTCTTAGCTACTGATGGTCAAAAGAAGACTCACACATTGTGATTATTTCAAATGCTATCTTACCTCTGCCACTGTCTGAGTTCTCCTCCTTTTAAGCACCTTAGCACCTTATTTTTTCCTCAGACTCTTAGACTGCTTTGATTTTTCAGACAAGGATGCTCTTGGAGAACACACCACCACTGAGGACAGGCACCAATCCCCCTGTGCATTGTGGACCCCATCCCAGCTCAACACGGTCCACGCATGACCTAAGATCTAGAAGGTCCAGGTCTAGGCAGCTGCAGAAGACCAGCCAGCTCGGAGAAGTCAGACAAAGTAACACTCGGAAGCCTTTCAGTTCCAGTTTTCTAAGAACGTGGAAAAGCTGAAGAAAGTTTTCTGAAATCTACACTCCTTGGTCATCCACCTCAGCATTTAGTTGTCTGGAGTTTTATTATTATTATTAATCTTAAAGGTTTTAAAAAGACAATACATTCACATAGTTTAAAAAATTTGTCATTAAAGGGTAGAAAAGACAAATATTTCATTCTCGTCTCAGTTAATACTGTCATTAGCTTTAGGATAAATGCATATTCTTACATTGCACCATCTAAACAGTAGCTCACATTCAGTCGTTGTGGCCACAGATTTGTCTGTTAAATGTGCCTGGTGTTTTCACTGAGGTGCTGGGGTGAGAAGCGTGCTTCAAAGCCCCTTTATGCTCCCCTAAACCGTGCCCAGGGCTAGGCACACTGAAATGCTTAAAACCGTGCTTCTTGGTTGGCTGCTCTTCCACACCTGCCCTGAGCAGACAACACACGTCCCACCTACAGCCCAACATGTGAATGGAGGGAGGCCTAAACTCTCACTTCCTCACACACACTTGTACAGAAAAACCTGAGTTTCAGGGGTGCCACACATCTCCATGGTGATGCGACACTGCGGCCACTTCAGCCATTTTCTCTGGTGGGAGATGAGTCAGGAGATGGACTGAGCGGTGGCTCTGTGCCCAGCTGGCTGTGGAACCCTGCACAAGTCGCCTCCCCTCTCTTAGCCTCATTCTTTGGTTATACAAAATGAAGAAAGGAGCAAATGGTGTGCAAGCTGCCAGCATCAGCTCTTTTAGGCTTCCCTGGGCTCATCTGGGGAACGAAGATGTGTGCTCATCATGTGTGGGCACCTGGCACATATCTGGGTCTGGGTCTGCTGGTCTGCTGGTCTTAGCCACGTAGACGCAGCCCTTGCTGAGGTCATAAGACAGTGTGAACACTTGTGGGCCAGAGTTACTTCCCCGGTCCCCGAAGTCACTGTCTGCCCAAAGCAAGATGAAGCTTTTATTGGTGAATCAGGAGAGGCCCAAATAAGGGCTTCGTGCTTCCTCAGATATGGACCCCAAGAATCCAGTGGGACACCACTGGGTAGGCCAGGCACCTGTCTTGCAGCCTTCGAGGGCAGCTCCCTCCTCGCCCACAGCCTGCAAGCAGGTGGCACCAGAATGGGGAACTGTTTCCTGATGGCCTCTGCTGGGGAACTCCTCTACATTCCTCTCTGCCCACTGCCCCCGCACCCACGCTCCCTCCACCTACATTTAGGCACAGGAGCACTCTGACCTGAAGGGAGCTCTAGGGCCATCTGCTCCCTCATTAATCTGCAGATTCAGAAACCGACGGGAAAAAGTCACTCACCAGGGCACACAGCTGCCTAAGAGGGACAGTCTTGAAGGACATGGCACTCAACAGTCTCAACAAAGACTGCCAGGACTTTCTCCTCCCTTCTAGAGGCCTCCTACAGCCAGGCAGGTGCCCGGTCGGCCATCGTCTCAGGGAAGGCATCTGTCTCGGGGGACACAGCCAGGCAGATGCTGTGCGCTGTTTCCTGTTCTGGCAGGAACTTCACTTAAGTGATTCAGTTCTCTGTACCATAGCTGGAAGCTGGCTGCTTCTGGGTTGAGAAGACAGGTAAACAGGCACAAAGGAGAGCAAGGTGACCAACATATCTTCAACTGATCCACATTCAGGCTGGAACGGGGCATCGAACTGGGACTGGGACTGAGTCCCAGTCAAAAAGTAGCGCCACTCCCTGTAGATTGAATAGAAAGCCCCAAACCTTGTGGAACTGACTTCCTCTGTAAGCGATCCCACCTCTCCATGCTGCTCTCACGCCCTGGAAAAGCAGCTCAGCTGCTTCTTTCTAGAAGCCCTCCCCGACTACAGACACTGCCACTGAGGTCTCTGTCCTCTGAATGCCTTGCTGCATTTCCTTCAGGTGGCATCAAACAACAAAGTCCTGGAGTGGCCTGGACTGCTTTTTAGACTATGATTGTACGGCCAAAGACTAGGAATCCTCAGAAGGAAGTTAATGCTCTGCTCTGCCTTCTGGCATCTACGCAGCCCTCAGCACAGCTGAATGCACAAAAGCTGCATCGTAACACCTTGCTGGTCCACCAATTCCAGTTCCTCCTACTGAAAGAAAGTAAAACCAACCACATCATCCTGAAATGCTTGTCTCTCCTGTCAGTTGCCCTTGTGTTCCATGCCAATGCCCAGGCAGACCCAGAGGCAAAGCAGTGAGACACCAGCACCGACCCAGGGGCTCAGGCAACTGCAGCCACCTGGAGCCAGTTTTAGTAGACTCCGCAGCACTGTACAACCTAGTGTTACATACCAGGACCTGAAGCCCCCTTCCATCGTCCCCCTCATGGTTACGGCCACACACGCATGCGTGCACGCACGTGTGCTTGTGTACAGGCACACAGTGTCCTATATTTTCACTCCTCTGATACCTAGGAAGTCTTAGGCTGCGTGTAATTTATCCCAGGGTCCTTAGGAACTTAAGTAGAAATTCTGCCCCCTACACACATCTCCTGTCACCAACTCCTCCCCCAAGGGCTCCCTCTAGTTCTGGGAAAAGCTACATGAGCACAGCTTTCCACACGGTGCTGGTGTGGGGAGGGATCAGAACGAGTTAATCTAAAAATGGGGAAAGAGCAGCAGTCCAAATGCACCCCACTGTGTGGCCTGACCTTCCCTGGTGCAGAGCTCCCTGCCCACACTTAAAAGACCCTCCTATTTCCAGACCGTTGTGCTCAATAATAATCTGGGGGGAACCTTAATGCTTGATTTCTCTTTCTTGTGATTCGTGACTGTGGGGCTCAAGATCCCTAAGTCCAAAATGGCACTTTTGCTCATTAATCGAGGTAGCAGGCTCAGGCCACCAAGACTTTTTCTCTCCTGCCCCAACAAGGCCCCAGCCTCAGGCTGAGGAAATGTCCTTGGCAATAGCAAAGGGTCTCATGGTGACTTTAACTCAGCCACATTCCACACATGCAATATTCCTGAGTAGTAGTTAAGCTTGTAAATCCATTATTTATGATGCAGACTTGTACAGTATGTGCAATGTGATGCAGATGGATTAGCATCACCATGAGAAACTTAACTTTTGAATATCTGTATTTTGAGAGGCACAAATTTCACAACTGTGAAGTGCATTACCAAACATGGCTTACAGCTACTTCCATGCAGGGTTCAAAGTGGTAAGTTATATTTAAATCCAGAATTTCCCCTACCTGATTACACTGAACAAATTAAAAATGGCTCAGTCATTTGCATCCAACTTTTGGGTTTCTTACCATAACCCTTGCTTCCCTATTATTGCAGCATTGAAATCAGACTTTAATTGTGCTTGTGAAACAAAACAGAGAAGGCTCCTTCCATTGCAGAACAGAAAGTCACAGCAAGCACCTGCGTGCCTCTCTTTGTAGGCTGGGGGTGGGGAGAGGAGAAAAGAGAAAGAGAAGTACTTACACTTCAGGGTCTCGGCTCCAGGCTAGAGATGGGAGATGCAGGCTCTGTGCAAACAGGACATGTACTCACCGTTTCTGCACTGAATCCCTTCCCTTAAAAAGAACCATGCCACGGCCCGTTCTCTTCAGCAATGACAGAAGAGAAAAAAATCAAAGTGACTAGGGCACAGATAGCTGATGAGCCCGTTCTCTTGTTGCACGGTCTGATTTGGAAGCATCATCCACCATCTTTCAGTGCGAGTATCCATGGAGTCAAGAATTCCAAATTCCAACCTGTTTCGGGTCCTCATGATATTCATATGTGGGAGAAAAGCATAGGACAGTTTGGCAACTGATTAGCTTTATTTGTAAATTTAAATAGATGACAGCTGAGCTGCCCTTCCTGTCCTATCCACTCTTCCTTGACAATTGCATGGCTGGCCATGTCCTGACACACACACTGTGTTCCACCAGGACCTCAGCCTCACTCATGCACTGTCTCTTCCTCAGATCACATAGGCCGCCACTCCCAGCCTTGTTTGTCTTGTTCCCTTCTGGAGAGGACACCCCTCACCCCGACCTTGCCAAGTCCTTTTATCCTTCCCTGCCTGGTCAGCTCTACCTGCTCTCTGAAGCTTCCCCGTACCTTGCACCCCTCGAAGACCTCCGATCTCTCCACATGCATTAGTGCCCCAGCATTTGCCATCACTTTTACCACTGTGTAACTCACCTGGCAACTGGGACCAGCTTGTCTATCAACCCTTGTCACCCTCCAAGCGGGTCCCTATCTATGTGTCTCTGCATTCTAAAAGAATGCATAACAGAATGTGGAACTCAGCAGTGACGTTCAGTAAATTACCTGCCCTTTTTTGAAGGGAAAGAGGGCAGCTATAACCAAAACTTTGAATGCATTTAGCCTCCCACCCATCGACCCCATCTAGGCATCCGATGTATAGAAATATGAGTTTGGGCCTACTTGGATTCATACATGAAAAAAGTTTGGAAAAGACCCTGCACTTAGCAGGCAATGTTCAGGCTTAGTAGTAGCTGCTTTTCTTGTGAGGATGTTCACTGCCGCTTCTGAAAGCAAAAATCTGTGAAGGACCCAAATGGCTCAATAGGAAAACCACTTTTTAAAAACTACATTTTTATGTACATTATTTATGTTACATTATTATGACTCTATGCAGATTTTAAAAATAATAAAGTGGATTTTTATATACCAGTATAAGAAAATCTCCACACTACTCATATTTATAAGAAATCAAACTTTAGAACATATATAATATGATTTTATCTTTTGAAAGAAAGACTAGATATTTATTTAACTGGGTGTGTATATATTATATACATTTATGGAAGTCTAAAGTTATAACTAAAACAAAAACGTGAGGCTCAAAGCTTGGATTGGAATCCTGGCTCCCCTTGTTACCACCTGTGTGATCTCAAGTGAGTTACTTAACTTCTTGTACTTCAGTTTCGTCTCCTGTGAAATGGGAAGATAAGCATACCTGCCTCACAGGCTAACGCTTGGACTAAAGGAGATCATGCTGTGAATTCAAAGTGCTTAGAGTGCTGCAGAACAGACAGAACCTCCAGTAAGAAGTGAACTCCAGCAGGCACAGTGGTACAAGCCTGCCATTCCAGCTACTCAGGAGGTCGAGGCAGGAGAATCCCAAACTTGAGGACAGCCTGGAAACTTAGTAAGACACTGTCTCAAAATAAAAAAGTCTAGGGCTAGAGCTCAATGGTAGAGCATTGCCAAGCACATGTGAGACCCTGGGTCCAAACTCCGCCAAAAATGAAAATAAAAAATAAAAGTGAGTTGTTAGGCTTGGGGTGTAGCATATGATAGAGCACTTAATCAACCATGTGTGAAACCTCAACTTTGATACCTAGTTATAAGAAAAAAGGTTAGTTGTTATGGGTGTTTTTATCTACCAGGACCAAAAAAAACCCTCAAAGTATACAGACTAAGCCATTAGAGTTGTTTCCTCTAGAAAGAGGAATTAGGAGAAAAAGAAAATCCACATACACATAAGCAGGGACAACTTATGTAAGACACAAATGCACCTATTTGCCAGTAAGCCGGCAGGACACCGGCTACCTGAGACGTATGTAAGATGTCAGGATGCAAGACCTCAAGCCACAGCTTCCTCATTTCTAAATCCTGATCCTAATTTAGCCCACACTAGAAAATAAAAAATAAGAGTATTATTACCAGCTGTCGCCCCACACATGCTCTGCAACCCCTGAATGTGTTAAGACATGAGAACATCTGTTTTTTTAAAGCATCAATTACTATTTTAAACAAGAAAAAAAGAAACAGGAAGTAAATTAGGAGGCCAAATGTATTTTTATGTACACATCTTGACTACCAAGGTGCGAGCCAGCACTGCGTTAGTAGCCACCTTCCCGTGGCAGAAAATGGCTCTGAATATTAAGTTTCCTACCTTTCACGTACAACCCCTTTCTCCCCATAATTCTTTCCCCTCCGAGGGTGGCGCGCGTGTCCTCTACAAGACTGCAAATTCCTGGAGGGCAGAACATTCTCGAAGCTTCTCTTCCTTCCTCACAGAGAAGGGCAGGTTGGACCTTAGAAGGGAAGCTAACGTGGAGTTTCATTTAGTAGCGATATCTCCATTGACAGCTTACTAACTTGTCGTGACAACCTTCTCTTAATTGTCTTTTTGTTCATTTTTCTTGCTGGAAAAGAAAAAAAAAGACTGTTAAAAATTAAATCCAAAACTTTCAGCTCTGATAAGATGAGTTTTCTGAAAAGCCAATAATTCCACATGGCTCATCTAAAATTAGAGAGAAGTGACCAGGATTTTTAGTTGATTGGCTTTCATAGTAGATGCAAGATAGTCAAAATCTATTTAAATGACTCTCTTAGGGAATTGGAGCAGCAGGCAATGCCTCAGACGCCAGAAGTCCATTTAAATATTACACGAAAGGAAGAGAATTAGTTTGGTCAAGCTGCTAAAATGAACAGGCAGGACAGAAATGCCCTGGAGAAGCACTGGGTGTTTCATCT